ATACTTTTGATCTTCTTGCTAATTCACTGGCACCATCTATTTATGGGCATTTGTGGATAAAGAAAGCAGTTGTTCTGCTCATGCTTGGTGGAATTGAAAAGAACTTGAAAAATGGAACTCACTTAAGAGGGTAAGATAAACTCTTTTACCTTTGGTCAGGCTACCTTTTGTTGTCCTTAGCACTTAACACCAATAAGACATTACTGCTTCCAGTTCATTCAGACAACTATCATAATTTTTTATGTACTGTAACTCCTCTATATGAGATTGATTCTAGGTCTCACAACAGCCATTTTTACTGTATTTAGTGATATAAACATGATGATGGTTGGTGATCCATCTGTTGCCAAGTCTCAGCTGCTGAGAGCAATAATGAATATTGCTCCATTAGCAATATCAACTACTGGTCGTGGTTCTTCCGGAGTTGGTTTGACAGCTGCAGTTACTTCTGATCAAGAAACAGGTAACTTTTTTTCAAAAGCAGAATCTACGTTGTATGTGAAGTAAACTGACAAATATGTACTTGGAAATAGGAGAAAGAAGGCTAGAAGCTGGTGCCATGGTACTTGCCGACAGAGGAGTTGTTTGCATTGATGAGTTTGATAAAATGAATGATCAAGATCGAGTTGCTATACATGAGGTTATGGAACAGCAGACTGTAACCATTGCTAAAGCAGGAATCCATGCATCCTTGAATGCTCGATGCAGTGTAGTTGCAGCTGCAAATCCCATATATGGTTCTGTAAGTTTTTCAAAACAGGTCCATCTAAATGTGTAATAGCCTTAAGATATGTATCATTTAACTTTTCTATACCATCTCGTTTTTTACAGTATGACCGATCATTAACTCCAACGAAGAACATTGGACTTCCAGACTCACTGCTCTCTCGTTTTGATTTGTTGTTTATTGTTCTGGATCAAATGGATCCTGGGGTTGATCGTCAAATTTCTGAGCATGTTTTGCGCATGCATCGGTATCGTTCTCCAATAGATGGAGGTAGGTTGGCAGTTATGTTTGAAAATCTTCATGCATTGCCTTTTCCTAGTTTGTATGAATGAAGTGAATCTATTTTACCTTTTAGGTAGCTCAACACTAGATAATGATTCAAGATATGAAGAGCAAAATGACAAGGATGAAATGCCCGTCTATGTTAAGTATAATCGGATGTTACATGGTAGAAATTCAACTCGGAGCAAAAAGGATACATTGACCATCCAGTTTCTCAAGACTTACATTCATTACGCAAAAAACAGGATCCATCCTGAGCTGACTGATGAGGTAATTAAGTGTAACTTGTGCAATTGCATAGCATCATTGCGTTTTCTTGCAGGATTAATTTTTTTATGCCTTGTGAATTTGAATTTTGAAATACTCCTTGAGATTAAGCTGTAATAAACCTTGGTCATATCTTAGCTTCATCTCACGTGAACCTTGATCAATGTACTGCTCTCTTCCTGATATTTATAATGATAATCATTTGTAGGCATCTGATAACATAGCTACTGCTTATGCCGAGCTTAGGAGTGCCAGTACAAATGCAAAGGTTGGTATTTTATGTCTGATATCCAGATAACTATCTTGTTATGTTATTTGTGTGATGTAATTGATTTGTCTTAATTTCCAATAGACTGGTGGAGGAACACTTCCAATTACTGCCAGAACTTTGGAAACAATTATTCGGCTCTCAACTGCCCATGCCAAGCTGAAGTTGAGAAGACAGGTGAGAACTTATTTGATTACAGTCTTATATAGGAGGATTGAAGTTCCCCATATATGACTGCTTAGGATTAGAGGTCCACTGAATATAAAAAACCATCATCGACAGAAATTGACCAGTTCTTGACTTTAATCAATGAATTTGGTAATAACCAAAATTGAGTTTTCTGGTTTCATTCTTTCCTTGATTATCTGCACTGTATGGATCTTCTTTTTTGCTCAAAATTTGTTTCCATATCATTTCTGGCAGGTTTTGAAGTCTGATGTAGAAGCTGCTCTTCAAGTTCTACATTTTGCCATATATCATCAAGAACTGACTGAGATGGAGGAACGTGAGCAAGAGAGAGCAAAGGAATTGGGGAAGAAGCGCAGTGCTGACCATGATGGCGGTAGCAATGCTTCAGCTCGTAAACGCAGAGCTGAGCATGATACAGGTGATGAATCAGCTGATCATGCCGGGGGAGTTGGGTGAGTTACTAACTATAAAATATACATAGTTCAGCTATCATCAATATTTTTTAGTCTTGGAGATATCTTGTTTATCTGCAGGTATGTTTTTTGGCAAGTGGTTTTCTGATAACTGATAAGTTCTTTCATCAAGTAAACAGAAGTAGATTGCAACTTCCTCACATTTAATTACTTTGATGATCCATCTATATGGTGTTTGTTTGTTTTATCTATTACGATGTTTCCTTCTAATGTTTATGCTTCTAAAGTGTTCTTTTGTATTCTTTTGGAAAGTGGTAGTGAAGCGATGGAAACTGATGATACTCCAGCAGCTGAAATCAGCACATCTCCTGAGAGGTCTGTGTAATTAACTAATTGATCATTGAATGCATTTCCTTGTACTCCGGGGTTGTCAATTATGGAATCTAACATCTCTGAACTTGCAGATTGCAAGCATTCAGTGCAGCACTTGGTAGGCACAGGAACTTACAACATGTGGAACAACTTCCAGTTGCTGATGTGGAGAATGTTGTCAACAATGGGGCGACTGTACCTTACTCAAAGGCGGAGATAGAGAAATTATTAAAGGTATGCAAGTCCTTCGATTACAAATTTCTTTGATGTCCTGAGTTCCAAACGTATGTGTATATTACCTCTTTTTTCACAAGTAGGCAACACTGAAATGTGCATCAGTTGGATACAGTAGTTTTTGAATGTATAACAGCTAACAGGGAAAGTGCTCTAATGTGCAGATGATGGAAGAGAAAGGTCAATTGTGGGTACACAGTGATACCAATGTAGTTTACTTCATGTAAATCAGTCTCCAAATGCAGTTGTCTCCTTTCTGATGGATTGTCCAAGCCTAAACTATATGGGAATACACCACTTGTTATTGAGCCATAACTTCTCTTATATTTCTGATAGTATTATGGTATTCCTCTATTTATCCCCACTTTGACATTCAGATGTAGATCTGATGAAGCATATGAATCTTACTTTTTCTGTTTTAGGAAAACCAAATGGGTAATGCATTATGTAATGTACAATTTATGATGACTACCAGCTAAATAGCTTTAACCAGAAGTTGTCTCCTTTGATTGAAAAGTTGCAATTCACGTTATTCGCTGAGTTAGGCTGAACTCCACTTGGTAATCCTCTTAATCACCAAGGTTAAAAAAGAAACATTAGTAAGAGCAGTATATATGGAATGTTACAAAATGAGAGCAAACAAGAAATGTAAGGAGAAACAAGAAGAGAACTTTCTTATTTATTTTTTTTATATTAAGGGGCCGTTTGGTTACTGGATAAGGGAAAGTTAATACATGAATAACTTTGTTATTCATGTATTAATTTTGTACCATGTTTGGTTTGTAAATAGAATCAAAATTATTCATGTATAAATTTTATAAAATGTTTGGTTGGTGTGTCTCCAATGTTGTATAAAAGTTATACATGTTTTGATTTTATGTGGTGTTTGGTTGTATTTTTGTAATGCCACATAGCTAATACTTACATAACTTATGAAGAGATCTATGTATAATTTTATGTAGGGTAGAAGGTAGAATAAGTTATGAGGGTATTAGCTATACATGGATTAAAATAATAAAATTACATATTTACCCTTAATTTGTTTTCTTACTTGTGTGTTTGTAAATAATAATGTATATTAATTTAAAAAATTAAGGAGTTATATCTTTTCTTTTTTAAAAAAAGGACATAATCTATTATTGTAACTTGTAGTTACGTTATTTACCCCCCCCCCCACACACACACACAACCACCCAAACAAAAACCAGAACGACCCCTGGGGTGTTTTTGAGTTTCGTCGTTTTTACACCCCACCCCCGAGGGACTGTTGCATTTTATTTATTTTGGATTCTTGTTTATAATCATGGATTTTATAATTTCTGATTCATTTTAAAAATATATTAATTTACAATAAATTAAATAATCAATAAGTTATAATTTATGTAATATAATTTCTACATAATAAATAATATCTATGAAACTAATATTTGTATAATTAATACCTGCATAACTAATATCAGCATAATTAAACCCTCCATAACTAATACCTGCATAACTCTAACCAGTAACCAAACGGCTCCTAAGTGTTTTTATGTATATAGGTTTGTGCTATGTGATTTTGGATACCTCTATTTATGAGATTACATTGAGGAACGTCAAAAGATGAAAAATCAATGAGGAGCTAGTTTTTAACCTTAAGAATTTGATCGGCTTTCACCCCAAGCAGTAACGCTTTTCCATACAATCGTAAGGTTAATTAATTCCCAACATTGCAAAGATCACTTTGTATATATATCTATGTGATGACAAGTTTAGTAACAAGAAACTCCAAATGCATATTGTTAGCAAATCCGAAATTATTTATATCACAATTATAATATTATTATATCTCACTCAATATGAGATAATAATTATTAATCACAACATAAGGACAAAATGCTTTTCTCCCAGAATCTTTTAAGAAAGCTCATGTATATTACATTTTTAATTCAATAAACCAAATATTTACTACTCCATAACAATTTATTCACTAAAGAATCCCGTTATTATTTGATCCTTTTATAATAGTTTCACATTACACTTTCAGCAATAAACCAAGATATAATGTGAAAATTTATAGGATAAGAATTCTTTCATAAAAATATGAACAACTAGTCCCAACTCTGAAGTGAATAAAGAAAAAAAACTTTATTGAAAAAAAAAACAAAAAAAAAAAATATAGAAAGAAAGAAAAAAGATAATGATTCATGGGACCAAACAAGTTGGAGAAGTATTATGACTGAAAATTTATGTTAATTTACAGGGGAAAAATTAGAAAAATCATGGCTACTGCCACTGGTCTCTTCTTCCTTACAACCTCTGCCTTTTCTGTTACCTCTAAACGGCCCTCTGTTTCTCTTTTTGTCAATAAAGTTCACTCTTTTCGACTCAGAGCAGCAAATGTAAGTCTCTTCTCTATAAAAAAGATTACATTTTTCCTTTCATTTTTCAAGATTACGTGATATTTCAAGAAAATATGCTTCTGCTATTTGTGGGGTAAGTCATTTTGGTTTTGTATTTTGTTTGATTACAGATAGAAGGAAGTGAAATTGAAGGAAAAGAGGAAGTGGGTATCAGTGAAAAGAAGAAAATATTTGTTGCTGGTGCGACTGGGAACACTGGGAAGAGGATTGTTGAACAGCTTCTGGCAAAGGGTTTTGCTGTTAAGGCTGGGGTTCTTGATGTTGACAAGGCTAAATCAACCTTACCGGGTCAAAACCCTGATCTTCAAATTGTGGGTTTGTTTCAATTTCTGTTATTTTTAGTTAACTTTTTAGAAACTAATAGAAGTTAATTGCTCAATCAGTAGTTGATTATGCAGCAAGTATGCTACTTTAAGGGTTAGATGTTAAGCTCAAAGAAAGTTTTGTTAATAGGGGAAGTGCCTTTAAATTATATATTGGGTTATTTGTCCAATTCTGTTTTTTTTTTTTTGTCTTTCAATTTGAACAAATATGCAGCTTGTTTATTCTGCTTGATCTTGCTTACACTCCTCCATCAACTTAAAGAGTTTGTTTTGGCTGGTGTATTCAGGTGATACTTAGTGTAGTTTAGATAGAAAAGGATTAAAATTGGAGATTATGTCAAAACCTTTAAAATATGATCATTTAGTATAGAAGGTAATTGGATTTTATTTTTCAAACAAAAGGCATTGCAAATGTATTGAAAAAAAATCAGGGAAAAGTTGCTTTTGAATGTAAGTGAAGAGCTAACTATGAAGTATAATGTTCACTTCTATTTTTTAACCCTTTGAGTTATTTCACTTGAAATGATGAAATCAATTCTAATATGTTATTTTCAGGTGAAAGCGGATGTCACAGAGGGATCAGCAAGACTAGCTGATGCCATTGGGAATGATTCAGATGCAGTAATATGTGCTACAGGATTTCGGCGTTCACTGGATTTTTTGGCTCCATGGAAGGTTAGTTGCTACCTTTCCATCCTGTTTTACTTTTAACTTAGCAGTTTACTTATCATTTCTGAAATTTTATGGTTGTGTTTTCTCTTTATGAAATACTGATTGGATGATCTTTATAATAACATGAATTGCAGGATAGGCAAACCGCTTAAAGGAAAAAGAAAAATATAATAATTAATAAGATGAATACAAAAGAAAGAAGTGTTGATTAAGTTTGTCAAGAGTCCATAGCTAATTTCAGTTAGAGAAGCCTCTTTACATGATGACACCCTTTCCACCGTTGCTACCCATGCGCACATTCTTGGCATTGGAAAAATATTACAAAGTCTTTTTGGTTCTTTTAAGATTCACAATGGAGACTTTTATGAGTATGCTACCCAAGATATTGCTGCTGACGCTCCATGTGGTAGATAGGGTCTTTCGAGTTAAAGAAACTTCATTCCATTGAAGATTTGTCTACACTGCAGAAAGTAAATGGAAGACTGAACAGTTTCATGTTACTAATACTTTTTTTTTTCTGTTTATGGAGAAACTTTTCATTCTTTTCTGAGAATCCAGGGGAGCAGGCTGTTATTATCAATTGTTTCTCTGGCGGGGTTGTTGGTGTCAATTGTTTCTTTTTTTTTTTTTCTTTTTCCCCAGCTTTTTGTGCTACTATTAATCCACCCTAGGTCTGCCATTTAAGCTAATTTCAAATTTGAACAGTTTAGTACTCCAATTTAACCTTTAAGATCTTAGCTCTATAATAATGCCTATTATAACGCCTGGAAAACAGGAATCAAGAATGGTGCGGTTAAGCAGGTTAAGGCCTACTAGGTTGAATTCAGAATGGATCTACTGTCAGAAAATCAGTTATTGTTGAAACCGTTAGTCATGTTTCAGGTTTATGAAAGAATTCCTTGCCTGTTAAGTAAAACACCATTCTTGATTTCCTTCCCTAGCTCTCAACCAGATTGGAGATCATATGTGATTGAGGTTCTCCGGAGGCACAACTAAATAAGCTAATGCCAGAAATTTTAATAGAATGAAAGAAGTAACCTGTGGGAGCTTCGAGAAAAAGTTATTTTGTATACTTATCTGTCCGTGGATGAAGCAAACATCAGTTCTGATGTTTGCTTAGGTGTTGAATGCTTAATACAATCGAAAAGTTGAGAAGGCTTCTCGAATGTTTTCAAGCAAAAACTTGAGAGCAAGACTGGAAATGTTCTAAAATGTATAGGGCGCAAACATATATCATCTTATTTCCTTGGCTTGATTTCACCTTAAATTTGTCTGGTAATTCTATTATGTTCCTTCTACACATTTAGTATGGCCAAAAAGGCCTCCGTTGATGTCTTACCTTCCAGATCATTAAACTCACGACCTTCTCTTGGTTATTCTACTTACGTAAATTATGAAGCAATTATCAGATCTTCGAGTTGTTGGCTCACTACCCTAATTATTATTTTGGTGGGGGTTTTGATGAATTATGAAGTATTGTCCTTCCACTATTATTGTTAATCCCTACTATACCATTCTTTCAGGTTGATAACTTTGGCACAATAAACCTTGTTGAAGCATGCCGAACACTTGGTGTTAAAAGATTCCTCCTTGTTAGTTCCATTCTGGTCAATGGAGCTGCAATGGGCCAGTTGTTCAATCCAGCATATGTATTTCTCAATGTTCTTGGACTGACATTGATAGCAAAGCTCCAAGCAGAGCAATATATTCGGAGATCTGGCATCAATTACACAATAATAAGGCCTGGTGGGCTAAAAAACGATCCACCTCAAGGAAACATTGTAATGGAACAAGAGGTAGCAATGTTATAGCTTACTCATTGTTTAGTGTGACATATGGTTTCCCTAAGATTCTCCTTGCTTTTCCTTCAAAATGTAGGATACCCTTTACGAAGGCTCAATATCTAGAGATCAGGTAGCTGAAGTAGCAGTTGAGGCATTACTCCATCCAGAATCTCATTACAAAGTCGTGGAGATAGTAGCTCGTACTGAAGCCCCTAAACGTTCATTCAAGGAACTATTTGGTTCCATTAAACAGCAGTAGCTTGTCAAGATGATGTTTTCTGTCAATGTTTATACACATGATTTATAAATATAGTTACTCAAAGACCACAATGCAACAAATTTATATTGCAACATCCTTCTCTGCAATCTTGTAACAATGGAAGTGAATGATTAAAAGAGAGCTTATTGGCCCCTTTTTTTTTACATGTTTTTAATAAATCTCATGTTTGTCAATGAAAGGCAGAAAATATTATGCCAGAAGGGTGAAAAATGTAACTATAACTATATTAACTCAGAGTCTTAGTAGTTGAGTTGGTTAATTATCCGATGGTCATTAGTAGGCTTGGATCTCCACCTTTTAATTTTCTTTCCCAGATCCATTTCTTTAATTTTTTTCTTTTTTGCATCAGCATCACTGAATTATCAATCTAGCCGTCAATACTACAGTACTTTTTTATTTCATGATATCTTTTTGTTGTTTTCTTTTATTAACATCTATCTATGTTTGAACTCAAAGTTTTTTTTTTTTTTTTTTTTTTCAAAAAACCATTATATGAGAATCAAACATTATTCCTGGAGTCAAATAAGTTTATAGTATATACTAATCAAACATATTCGTTAGTGATTTCGAATAATGAAAGAATTTGAGTAATTTAAAAAAAGAAATTGCTGCAAATCAGAAGTTTAACAAGTGAAAATTGAAATATAAACTCTATAATGCGAGAACTTAGATGTACATGTGAATACTCATATAATCGAACTCCAATACGAATAATTACTAAAAAAAAAAAAAAAAGACTTTCGAGAACATTTTATGGCGGTTAATTAACAGAAATGGATTATGCTAACAGCAAGTTATCCAAGCAAGACCACTGATTTTTCTTGCTCAGAACCCTTCTGCTCAAACCTCCAATCCATTTTCTGTCCACACTAAAAATCATAGTTTTCCATCTTAAACCAACAACGTACGTCTCTGCAACAAGTTTTCACTTCAAAAAATTTCAAGAATTCTCTTTGTGGTAATGTATAATTGTGCTTTTAACTTTTCATTTTGATTACAGATGGAAGGAAGTGAAATTAAGGAGGAAAAAGAAGCAGGTATTGGTCAGAAGAAGAAAATATTTGTTGCTGGTGCAACTGGGAATACAGGGAAGAGGATTGTTGAGCAGCTTTTGACTAAGGGTTTTGCTGTTAAAGCTGGGGTTCGTGATGTTGACAAGGCTAAATCTACCTTACCCGAAGGAAACCCTCTTCTTCAAATTGTGAGTACTCCTTTAATTTCTTTCAATTTCGGATTTTTGTTTTACTATAAATTGGTTGATAGCAAAGCTGAGGAGTTTTAGGGCCTTCCGAATCAAGTTGTCAATTTAATAAAGTGGTTGTTGAATTAACTTTACTAATTATGGATGAACGAAATAGTAATAAGTTCTTAATATTACTATTAATTCAGAAATTTGACTTTCTTACATAAAGCATCAGTTTGAGCAATACTGATGAACTGTGTTGCTTGAACTCTTCAAAAATGTCAACAAACTGAATGTCTGATTCTCCAAAAGTAGTGTATTTTTGGACGAAAATGAAGAGTCCGCACAACTTAGCTATTGAAAAGTGAAATGCCAAATTATTAATGAGAATGGAGTTGTAATTTGAAATATTACATGTTTTCCATAAGAAGCTATAAGTGGGTGCTGTACTTCAGTGTTTTAAAGTTTTTAAGTGCATGAGACTTTGGTATATTCAGTTCAACCAAATAATATTACAACTTACAAGTTTAGGTCACAAAATTTTGTTATTATGCCTCCATAAGAGTGTGTTTTATGGGAACTTTCATTCAGTTCATTAGTAGGACAGCTTTCTCAAAACATTTCTAGAGAATCTAGGAACAAGCAACTCTTTATGACTTGGAGAGCTTCGCTTCCAAACGAGAACACTTCAAATTTGAGTGTGCAGATATACATTCTTACCCGCCTACGCGTATTACATGTCTTGCCTTGTCATTTTTACTCAAACTGTCAAATCTGTAGTTAGTTTTGGAGATAAAATGAAAACCTTCTACCTTTCTTATAAGAAATTTCAGTTTTTGAATATAGCTATATCTTTAACCTTCTAACTTTGGCCTCCTTCTAACTTTGCCTACAATAAGTCTAAATTCATTTTCAACACTTATAAGACTTGGTGCTACTTGAACACTGCAACGCTCCAAGTTTAGCTATTTGATATAGGCTAAAAAAAGCTGAATACATTCTTCTGCAAATGGGAAAAATAGATAGTGAAGGAAACATATACCTTCTCTGGAAAGGAACACCTTGTTTATGAATACTCCCTGTGGAAATTCCATATTGTTCTAATTGTTCTCAGGTGAAAGCCGATGTGACAGAGGGATCAGCTAAACTAGCTGATGCCATTGGTGATGATTCTGATGCGGTAATATGTGCTACAGGTTTCCAGCCTTCGTGGAACTTGTTGACACCTTGGAAGGTTAGTCAACTCCAATCCACAAAATAGTAGTATTTACCAGATCCTTCACACCTGATCTTGATGATCAGCAAAGTGAGATGATTTTGTGATAGGCTTGATGGGAGTTTCAGTCTCATTTTTATGCAATACAATGTCTTTTCAGTACTTAAATTTTAGTCTTATTAGCTTGAAAATCACACTGTGCTTGTTAGTTTGCAACTGCAAGAACATGTTGGTGAATTCAATATGGAATCCTTGATTTTTTGGAGAGTCCTCATTATCCTAAAAGATTCTCGATACCCAGGACAGGAAAATGTAAAAGGAGTGACCAACGTCATAGCAATTGAAGTTCAATTTTTTCGCTTAAATGAACATTTTAGTTACTGAATTGGCATTCAAGCAAGTATCATCTTGAAGATAATAGTTGTTATGGTTTGTTTTCTCCTTTTATTTTACTTTATTACACCTCCTCTTGACATCGTTTAGCCAAGCGCTAGGTAGTTGAGAGTAATTCAAACTCGAAAATTTTTTATCTCAATTTTTACTGTTATGCGTAACGTCTTCTGGCATCAAGAGATTTATCTTCATCATTTCGTTTGGTGAAAGAAAAAAAGAATATTTGCATGTGGAGTGAAATCTTGAAAGCCTCCTTTTATCCTCTTACTTTCTATTTTATTGCTTTCCTTTCCAATTCCTTTGTTTACTCGTCTGCAGATTTTAGAAAAAATTCTCGGACAACCATAATATAAACACCATGAAATTTAATGTATTCCTTCCCCATACATTAACAGCAGTGGGTGTGATAAGAGTTATTGAAAAAGTAAGTTGTAAGTTTCCAGTAGCTAAAAGTTAGTGCATTTGACAAACCAATCTTTGGAACTTCCTCTCTGGAGTTAAGTTGAAGCAGAGATTACTGTATCAGTTCTTAGACTCAACCCTCTTTAGCTTTCACTTGGGATCTAGAAGCGTCAGTTGTAGAAACAAATATGGTGCTGGGCAATTCTATTAAAAAGAAATGGTCCAAACGATACCAACTCTGGAGCATTTCAGCTTTCACTTCTCTGATTTGCTGATAACTCAATTCTGCTCATGCTATTGTTCTGTTCCCAATAACCTACTTAATAATTAGACACCGCTCATCTTACTTCTTTCTGGATCACTGTTGTCAGTAATTTTGGCAGTAGACATTTTCATATCTTATGCATAAGAAGTGTTAACTTGAGGTGAGATTAGATAGGGATTTCAATGCCTAGTCTCCCCAACTCGCTTTGGGATCGAGATGTAGTTGTTGTATTCATTTTCATATCTTATGTCAATGAATTAGCAGAGGTGTTATATGTCCTTTATAAGCATTATCCATGTTCACATGCAGATGTCCTATAACTTATCATCTCCCTTATGCATTTCTTTGATTTTGAATATGGTTAAAATCAGAAAACGTATCCTATCATTGTTTTATTTTTTCAGGTTGATAATTTTGGCACAGTGAACCTTGTGGATGCATGCCAAAAACTTGGTATTAATAGGTTCATCCTTATAAGTTCAATTCTTGTCAATGGGGCTGCAATGGGTCAGTTGTTCAATCCAGTCTATATAATCCTTAACGTTATGGGACTCGTATTGGTAGCAAAGCTTCAAGCTGAGAGACACATTCGTAAATCTGGCATCAACTACACAATAATTCGGCCTGGTGGGCTAAAAAACGATCCTCCACAAGGAAATATAGTCATGCAACCAGAGGTAACATTATGTATAGCTTACTCCTGTAGTGTTCCATTTCAACAATGTTCCAGAAGTCCTTTTTTGCATCTAATGTTACACACTCTCTCTTCCCTCAATTTAGGATACCCTTTTTCGAGGCTCAATATCTAGAGATCAGGTAGCTGAAGTTGCAGTTGAGGCATTGCTCCATCCAGAATCTCATTACAAAGTCGTGGAGATAGTGGCTAGTACAGATGCCCCTAAACGTTCATTCGAGGAACTCTTTGGTTCAATAGAACAACAGTGACTTGTAAGCATGCAACTTTTATTCGATCCACTAAAATGTTTTTTTGATATATACGATACTCAACATTTCTCTTGTGTAAATGATGATGCTGTTGTGATCTGAACTTGGTTCTTGCACCAAGTTCACAACACTACTCAAAAGAAAAGATAAAATGAATTACAAGTATTATTTCCAGAATTTTCACTTTCCAACAGTGCGCATGTTAATGTTTGCTTGCTATTTGGCTTGCCAGGAATTTTGAGTTATAGTACTAGCGTCTTGTTTAAGTTCTGTGAATGTCATTTCTTTATTTATTTTTTCATGATGATCATCAAATATCCAATAACGACAACATACCTATTGTAATCCCACAAGTGAGGTCTGGGTAGAGTAATGTTTACACCGACTTTACCCTACCTTGTGAAGGTAGACACGTTTTCGAAAGACCCTTGGCTCATGTAAATCAAAGCAGGTTTGAAAAGAAGGAAATACAGTAGTGAATCACAAAAATAAAATTGTCTTATAATAAGATGAAGAAATCCCAACAAAGTAGAAAGTAGTAACAAATTACAAAAATTGATTAGAAGAAGAAAGCAGCCAGAGAAGCAAAGGCAGCCATGAAAACAGGGACAAACAAAGTAATAGCAGCACTCTCCATTGAAGGTGAAGGTGCAGGTGATTCTTCTCCAGCAGCCATTGCTCCTCCAACATTTCCGAAAGCGACTAGCATCATCATGCAAATGGTGAAAACAGCCA